CACTGAGGGTGTAGGTGACATAGAGCGAGGAGACAAAAAGCCCAGCCAGGGCCCAGAGCGCCCCGCTCACGATGCCCGACAGGTGCCTGGGGCGGTGGCAGCGGTACCAGAGGGGGAAGAGGACGGACACGCAGCGCTCCACGCTGAGGGCTGTCAGCAGCCCCAGGCTGCTCAGGTCAAACACGTGGCACAGGAACCCAACGACAAATACAAAATGTTTATAGAGAGGAATAACTTCAAACAAATAAGTACAAAATGTTACCAAGGTAAAAAAACCCACTAAAATCAGGAAATAGAGGAGGATGAGGGAGAAGTCAGCCACAGCCAGGTTTAGGATGTAGACAGTGAAAGGGCTCTGCTTCACATGGAAGCCCAGGAACCACACGACCATCCCATTCCCCACAAGCCCACAGAGGGAAATCCCCAGGCACACACCCCCAAAGACAATCAGTTTGTAGGACATGATCGAGCAAGTATTGTTGATAGCTTCCTCAATGTCCAGAGATGTGTAAGTTATGTTCAGAGTGAAGTCTCCTGGGTCAGTCTCCTCCATGGCAAATGACCCTGCTCCAGGTGACCACCTTCTCCCTTTCCCAACACCTCCTAGGAGAGACAGGCAACCAGAAGGGAATGAGGGCCACCAGCATTCCCAGCGCCCACCATCTGTCCCCACGCTCCCATGTCAGACCCAGGAAGAACCCCACTGCCTCACTATGCCCAGGACAGGCTCCCACCCCTCCAGCCCTGTCCCTGCACAGGAGGCATCTCCCGCCTCTCCATCCCTGCACTCCTACCTCCTGCTGCTCCTGGAACAGTGCTGTCACACTGGACCTCCAGAGCCCTGGCACACGGCACCTCCAGGCTGGCCAGGACAATGGGGCTGGTGGTGGCTGCTGGAACCACCTGCTGTGTCACTCCCCTTTTGCCAGGGGGGGCAGATCCTCAGCCAGAGATCACGTATTGTGGTCAGGAACCTCCCTCCCAATCTCTCCACATCGGTGACAGCTTCCCCTCACATGTCCTGTGTACGGAGATCTTGTCAGTAGGAGCTGGCCATATCACCCCCTTACACTCCACCCCCCCATTCTTCAGCAGGAGGTGCTGATCTATTATGATCCCATTAATACAGAGTTTCGAGTTTGCCTCTGGACCCAGCTCCTGCAGCTCCAGGCTGGATGTCCTGGAGAGACTGTGGACCTTGGTCATTAGCAAGGATGTCCTCGGAAGACATGAGTCTTAGGGATGACATGCCTAGGATATAACTCCAAAGGAGACAGAAAACACGTGAAAGAGGGGCAGAAAACTTGCAATGCAATGCACAGTCCCTGTGCTGTGAAAGGTTGAGACTGTGAGGTAGGAACCCCTTGGAGATGAGAACACCTTGTCAGCACCATGTACCCCACAAAAAGTAATCTAAGGGCAGTGTCTGACAGGGGTGTGATTAGAGGCAAAGCCCTCACGTTGTTCTTATCTGAGCACTGGTGGTTTCTCATGGCAAGTGGAGGCAAGGCCAATGCTTGTCCCCACGGGCTCGAGGAGTGTTTTGACCCAGGATTCTCAGCACCTGAAAGGACATAATATTATCTATGCTGTCCCCTCCTTCTCCATAGTTTTAAATTCATTTATATTTAAAATTATAGAGTCCTAGTCTCAGTATTAATGGGATCATAATAGATCAGCACCTCCTGCTGAAGAATGGGGGGGTGGAGTGTAAGGGGGTGATATGGCCAGCTCCTACTGACAAGATCTCCGTACACAGGACACGTGAGGGGAAGCTGTCACCGATGTGGAGAGATTGGGAGGGAGTTTCCTGACCACAATACGTGATCTCTGGCTGAGGATCTGCCCCCCCTGGCAAAAGGGGAGTGACACAGCAGGTGGTTCCAGCAGCCACCACCAGCCCCACTGTCCTGGCCAGCCTGGAGGTGCCGTGTGCCAGGGCTCTGGAGGTCCAGTGTGACAGCACTGTTCCAGGAGCAGCAGGAGGTAGGAGTGCAGGGATGGAGAGGCGGGAGATGCCTCCTGTGCAGGGACAGGGCTGGAGGGGTGGGAGCCTGTCCTGGGCATAGTGAGGCAGTGGGGTTCTTCCTGGGTCTGACATGGGAGCGTGGGGACAGATGGTGGGTGCTGGGAATGCTGGTGGCCCTCATTCCCTTCTGGTTGCCTGTCTCTCCTAGGAGGTGTTGGGAAAGGGAGAAGGCGGCCACCTGGAGCAGGGTCATTTGCCATGGAGGAGACTGACCCAGGAAACTTCACTCTGACCGTAACTTACACATCTCTGGACATTGAGGAAGCTATCAACAATACTTGCTCGATCATGTCCTACAAACTGATTGTCTTTGGGGGTGTGTGCCTGGGGATTTCCCTCTGTGGGCTTGTGGGGAACGGGATGGTCGTGTGGTTCCTGGGCTTCCATGCGAAGCAGAGCCCTTTCACCGTCTACATCCTAAACCTGGCTGTGGCTGACTTCTCCCTCATCCTCCTCTTTCTCTTGATTCTAATGTTCTTTTTTACCTTGGTAACATTTTGTACTTATTTGTTTGAAGTTATTCCTCTCTATAAACATTTTGTATTTGTCGTTGGGTTCCTGTGCCACGTGTTTGACCTGAGCAGCCTGGGGCTGCTGACAGCCCTCAGCGTGGAGCGCTGCGTGTCCGTCCTCTTCCCCCTCTGGTACCGCTGCCACCGCCCCAGGCACCTGTCGGGCATCGTGAGCGGGGCGCTCTGGGCCCTGGCTGGGCTTTTTGTCTCCTCGCTCTATGTCACCTACACCCTCAGTGAGCGCTCTGG